CAGATTCGCATTGCGATTTACGTAATCGCATTGCAATTTAGGAAAATCGCAACGCGAATTTGGGAAATCGCAATGCGATAGTCAGAATCGCGTTGCGAATCTGGAAACTGATTTGCGATACCGGAGATCGCGTTGCGAATTATCGATCACATTGCGATTTAGTTGGTCATTTTGGCAAATCCAAAAAAAGTTGGTTAAAATCGTATATTATAAGGCATTTTTGGTCACTGAGGTTATTTTCTCTTAATTAATTCATTTAGTATAATTAGGTTCAATAATTGTTTGTTTGATTGCATGTTGTTTTAAAAAAAATAAGACAATGTTCATTTATTAGGGGATTAGTAGTGTATCTCACGCTTTTGCCTGAGGGTGACCGCTATTGATTCTCGAAGTAAATCAACATCATTTTCAATACACCACATCACAATTTCTAAATTATAAAGGCAATGTCCATTTATTACGATTGATAACGAAGCTTCCGCTTTTGCTTGGGGGTCATCCTTTTTTAAAATATGCATACATAGTAGATTTTAAATTAAAATAAATTTTAAACTAGAAATTTCCAATTTCAAAATATAGGGTAATCGACAAGGTACCAATTTTGGGCACCGTTGGAGTGCTAATCCTTCCCCACATAACTGACTCCTGAACCTAATTTCTGATTTCGCAGAACAAAACTTGATATTTTTTATAAAATAAAAGTGTTTTATTAAATTTACCTGATTTCAGGTGTTCCAATCTCACCTTAAAAATGATTGGTGGTGACTCTCATTCTTTTCATAAAATACCTTTATTTTCAAAAAAGTCGTATCGGTCTTCCCACCGAAAATGGGTTACGACACATTGATATATGATATTTTAACAATGACAATAATAAATTTCATTATGTAACAAAGAGGTTTAATGGTACATAAAACATTATTCCAAACAAAGAGGCTAAATTGTTAGCCCACCAGAATTTGGACTGAAGATTTTTCACCACATCCTTGTCCAATTGAAAAGCCTTGACAAGAACATCAGGATTAATGGGATGATTTGATCCAAACACTGCATTGACTATTGTAATGACACCCAGATTCTGGCTGCTCAAACCAGCCAAGGCAACACCATTTGTTTTCCCAATATTGAACTGAAAGTGAACGAGACCAATGGGAAAAACAAAAGCATCTCCAGGGTATAGGACCTTTGTAATGAGACGGTTTTCGGGGTTGGATGTCACGAAGCCAACGGAGAGTGTGCCCTCCACAACGAGTAGGATTTCGGTGGGACGAGGGTGAGTGTGAAGGGGGGGTTGAGGCCTCCATTTGTTGCATAGTCAATTCGAACCAATGAGATGCCAAGAGTGTTGAGCCCCGGTATTTGGGCAACATTGACTGGAGTTACAGTCGATCCCACTGGATTTGATATGTTTCTGGGCATGTTGAGGCCTGAATAGTAGAAGTCTTCTGCTTTGGCAAGCTTGGGGTCCTTGCAGAACTTGCCATTAACAAACACTGCATAAATGAAGAGATTAAAAGAAGATTGTTATTTCCATAATGGTATATTATGCCATGAAAATATTTGAGAATGTATTCGAAGCACAAGAAGAGAAACATACCAGCATCCTGGAGTCATTGATGGGTACGCAGAAGTCCTGGAGAGGGCTAGGATCAGAGGCATAAGCAAATGTGGAAGCCAGAGACAAGAGAGATAATTCTAGGATGAAATCAGCACTTTTCATTGTGATAAATGTAATTTGATTGCTTCCGAAGGATGAGGAACTCTGCTGGAGAATACGACAATTTATACATTACAGTGTTTGAACTAGTCTCACTGTCTTGTGTATTATTTATTTTATATAGTTTTTGATGAACTGTTCATCGAAATCCCACTTGCCGTATATGTTTCTTGCATCAGTATCTTTGTCATGGAAGTAGTCAATTCTGTCATTAAATTCTGACTTTTGTGGTACTTGATCCATTCCAAACTTTAGCAGATGTCCAAGATTGCTAAGGCCATATAATAATAACAATAGGTCTTGTTGACCACATTTTGCCATTTGGCAGCGTTTAAACATAAAGTTGTATCTGCTGGGCAGATTCTCTTTGTTTCTGCTTATTTTACAAGAGGATGTCGGCATATTTGATCTGATTATTTGTGGATTTAGACATAGTTTATGAACCAACCGAGCTAATTAATTTCTTGGTTAAGATGTGAAAGAGACTGCCATTATGGATTAGGAATTGATTCTGTCTGATCTGTATATGTAAAGACAAATTGTTAGTATTGATCTCTATTTGTAAAGACATTGTTTTTCCAGGGCGGCATATTAACCACCTTGGATATGTATTAATTAATTCAAAGAAAACAGAATGATATAGTAATTCCAAGTATTTTCTTTGAAAGATTCAATATTCATCTCTCCGGAACAGTTCAATCTGAGATATAAACGTGCATGGGTGAGTTAAGCAAACAGAAGCTACATTATTATATTAAATATTGTGAAATCTTCACCATTCTCTAGATATATAGCAAAACTGTAACTTTGAAATGGTGAAAGAGGGTAATCAATTGGGTGTTATTTTATTTATTTATTTTTTAAGTCAATAGAGTAGTTAAACAAGACATTTGCTGCGACCAGTTCCACTGCAAAATATGCATGCATGGGAAGATTGAAATTGGACGAGGATCAGCACTTAGAGTGGTTAAAGAATGGTTCCATGAAATACTTCAAACCAAGTAGGACCAATGGTGAGTCAAGCCAATGTTGAACAAATTCCAGACTTATCACTCTTGGCATTTCTCTTGTTCGAATTGACTATGCACCTTACTGTGGCCTAAACCCTCCTCACACTCACCCTCGTGCCACCGAAATTCTAGTTGTTGTCCAAGGCACCCTTTACATCGGATTTGTTACATTCAACCCTGAGAAGCTTCTCTTTTCCAAAGTTCTGTAACCCGGAGATGTCTTTGTGTTCCCTGTTGCTCTCATTCACTTCCAGTTCAACATTGGGCACACCAATGCAGTTGCCTTTGCTGCTCTCAGTAGCCAAAACCCAGGTGTTATCACCATTGCAAATGCAGTGTACGGCTCACACCCGCCCATCAATCCCGAATTCCCGATCTTCTTTCCAAAGCCTTCCAGCTCGATAACAATATTGTTAAGCAACTTCAGTCCCGTTTCTGGTGGGATAACAACTAGACCAATATTTCTAAATTCCATCAAACTTGTACCGTTTGATTTGTTTCTCTCATTGAATTTAGTATTTCATTTTTTGAAAAATAATTAAGAGGTTTGATCGAACATGTGAATCAAAATAAATTAAGCACTATGCTCATACTTTGTGAATATATGATCTTTGTGAATATATAATGACTTATATGTGAAATTGTAGTTCGATGCATGAAATTGAACTAAATTAAGTTATGTCCTCTTACTTTGTGATAATTGACAGGTATTGTTTTACTCTCAAAATAATTTTAGCCTCTTAAAAATAAATAAATAAATAGAGTGAGAGTAGAATAGGGGAGTAAGGTTGATCCACAGACACTCTGGTGTTTCTGATGAAGTGAACTTTCTGATTTAAAAAATGATGAGATAAGATAGAGTTTTGGATGAGATTAAATAGGGGGTTTAAAAGTTGTTTTTAAAATAAAATATAAGAATTAATAAAATAAAATAATTAAATAAATAATTGAAATAGATTGAGATAAAGAGAAACTTATAGTGAAATTAGTCTCGGACTTTAGCTTTGCCTCAAATTCTTGTTGATCCTCAGAATAGATTTTTGCTTCGGTTATTTGTCGGTTATAGTCTACAGGGCCCAACCCTTGTAACTTTTTTTCTGTCTTGTGAACCAATAAACCAAAATCTATTTTTGGATATCATTCATTTACGGAGACTAACTACGACTATCGTCGTTAGCAATAACCTGTTTTGTAGATCTAGAAAAACCCGACTCGAACTATGTCACCTCAATGAGAATATAGCCTGATCTCAATTTCCCTTAGCGGACCGCCGCTAAGTGTGTCCACAGAATGTCGAACTTGTTACCAGCCGATTCTCTCTCCCAATTGTAATACCTTTACAAGACAACCATGTACGGCGGCTTCGACACTCAATCTCATCCGACCAAACCTCCACCTCGTCAAACCATTTTTCCAGCGAGCATATATTGTTCTTTAAAACTTTATCCCTATTGGATTCATCTTCAATAATGATTAACATTGCTAACTCACTTAACCTAATGATTTTTGGACCTTGAATACTGGCAAGGTCTTTTGTCTTCATGAAAATCTTACACCATCTGAAAAGATATAATTGTCATTGATTACGAGGATCATGTTAATCATGATATTACCCATGGTGATACAATTATAAGTCAAGTTGGCACTTATGATAACCTTACTAATGTGAAGACTAAATTGTCTTGTACATTCAAGCTTGATCAGGGCTAGGATCCGATTAAGAGTCATTGTTGAGTAATACCTTTTAAGGAGTTTTATGGAAGAAATAGATAACTTGTTCGTAGAGGTAAATTTTGATTTTTTTTAGTTTGAATGTTTAATTGAATTTACCTTGATCTAGATATACAATTGTACTTTATAATGATTGACTATGCTTATATATCTGGGATATGCATTATTTGTAATGGTAACTATGACTATACTTATAATTTGCCATCAAAATAAGAATTAGCATTAAAAATGTGAAACTTTATTCAACTGTAGGAACTTGAACGGTTAAATTAACATATATGTTAATTAATTCTTCACTGTTTTCATTTTGTACGACTTTTTCAAATCCTGTCTATACTGCACACGCAACACGGTTGAATAATTATGAAAACTTCAAAGAACATTTTTAAGTAATTTAAGCAGCCTATAGTGAGTAAAATAATGCAATATAAACCAAACCATTTGAAAGCTTCTCTTGTTGAAAACACTTTACCTGCTGCTGCAAGTAAAGGAAAATAGAGACCAAGTCATTGGTTTAATCTATAAATAGCCATGCTTATCTTGCAAAGTTTCCCACTCTTCTTCAAAGCAATATCAAATAACCAGCCGTGTTATAATGGAAGGAATCAGCTCTCTCTTGGTTGCATACGCCCTCTTGGCCTTTGCTTGCTTCTTGGCCTCGGCGTTTGACCCCAGTCCTCTCCAGGACTTCTGTGTGGCTGATGACCCCAAGAATGGCGGTAGGCTCATGATGCAGATGATATTCTTAATAATATTGTACCGGATGATATATATTAACTAACATGTCTTTCGTGCAGTGTTTGTTAATGGGAAGTTCTGCAAGGACCCAAAGCTCGCTGTAGCAGATGACTTCTTCTTCTCCGGCCTCAACATGCCCGGAAACACATCAAATCTAGTTAGATCGAATGTAACTACTGTCAATGTTGATCAAATTCCAGGACTTAACACTCTCGGCATATCTCTTGTTCGAATTGACTACGCACCTTATGGTGGCCAAAACCCTCCCCACACTCACCCTCGAGGAACTGAGATCCTGGTTGTGGTACAAGGCACACTTTATGTTGGCTTTGTTACATCCAATCCGGAGAACCGTCTAATCACTAAAATCCTATATCCCGGAGATGTTTTCGTTTTCCCGATTGGTTTGATCCACTTCCAGTTCAATATAGGAAACACTCCGGCCGTTGCCTTTGCCGGTCTGAGCAGCCAAAATGCAGGGGTTATCACCATTGCTAGCGCTGTGTTTGGCTCGAACCCACCAATCAACCCGGATGTTCTCACAAGGGCCTTCCAATTGGAAAAGAATGTGGTTACACATCTGCAGTCACTCTTCTAAAGAGACACCTCAAAAACTAGAAGCTTGTTGCTTGTTTTGAATAACTTTTCCACTCATTTTCCTGATTGAAGTCATATTATTTTACTTTAGTATGAATCAATAAATGAAACTCCCCATAATTCACTTTCATCTCTCTTGAGATTTTTTTTTGTTGAATTACAACTGTCCAAACAAATATAATTCAGTCCAGTCATGTAAGATCACAAAAATAATAAAACGTTTTCATCACATAAGTAGCACGGCTCGTAAGTAGTAACACTTTCTCGTTATTGATAACAACCCTAAAGATATAATGCAAAACAAATAACATAATCTTATATAAGTTGTTCACCATTTTGTATCCCGAAATGCTTGTTGAAGTAGGATCATCCCATAACAGAAGTAGCACTCTTAACACCTTCCTTGAACTTGAAAATAAAAGGATGAGTAAAATATATTAATTACTTTTAAGATTAGTTTACAGATTACAGGTTCGTTTCCCTCCCCTCTCCTTTCTTTGTAATGGGAAACCCTAACCCAGCCCAGGTGTTTCCCAAAAGCAGTTTTAAAGTCTAAAAACCCATATCCAGCCTCAGCCTCTTCTCACAGGTTTTATTTTATTATATATACCACACTCCTCACCTCTACCAAAACCATCTTTTGTTTTCTAAAAAAAATAATTCAAGTCATAATGCCATTGCAATCATCAAGAAACAAAGCGCCGCCCTCCACCCATTCCCACACAATAGTGAAATTTAGGATGATTCAAGTTGAGTTGTTTGAAAATTTAAATAATAAAAAAATTGAAAAAAGATATCCCTAGTTCTTTAGTTAAGTAATTTAATTATTTTATAATTTGATCTCTTATTTCTTATCTCTAATTATTTTATAATATTATATTAGATTTTACTTTCTATTTATTAGTTTCATTTAATAATTTATTTCGAAATTTTTGCAGGTGTTATCCCCACATTGATCTCAGCATCACCTTTAGTTTCGTATCGTTAATTGTTATCCATAAAGTCGTAGCATGAGCATGAGAGGACAATGTAAGCAACCAGTGTTGACCCAACTCATTAGGGAATATCTCTGTTGCCTTTACATTTCACATTTAATTTAATTTTTTGTTTTTTTGTCTGCATGCGTTGAGGACAGTGCATATCTTAGATTTGAGGGTGTATTGTTTGTTCATTCATTTTTCATTTGCACACATATTAACTAGGAAGTAGTAGTGATGTTTATAAGATGTCACAATATTAAGATAGGAAGATGCCTTAGTTAAGGAACTTTTAAACTTTTTGATGATGTTCAATGATGATACAATTTGAACTATGAAGGATAGAAAATAAGCGTATTAGACTCTTGCTGAGATTAGAATTTTATGGGTTATTCTTAACACAAATGGTTATATGCTTTTAATACTTAGAGACGTTAGAAATTTGTTGAACCTTGAATAAAATTGTAGTGATATTCAAACTCCCATAAAACAAATGCTAGAGGTGCCTATCTGGCTCTAAAAAAAGAGAAAAAATTACTAGAGGTGCCTATCAGGCTCTACAAAAAAAGGGAAAAAATTACTAGAGGTCCTATCTGGCTCTAGTAAAAAAGAGAAAACAATTACTAGAGGTGCCTATATGTCCCTAATAGAAAAATGTTAGAGGTGCCTATATGGCTCTAACAAGAAAAAGAAGGGTGCTTAATTGATATTCGAAGCTTTACTTTGTTCAGTACATTAGAGGAATTGGTGTTTGCTCCATTCTTTTCTTCAAGTAGGAACGACATTTTAAAGCAAAGAATTTCCTAAAAAAATGAATAAGTGGAGGGAGATGTAGCTACAATACTTAAAATAATAATAATTGATAAGTAAGGTCGCATTTTTCTAATTTCACTAAGTATTGACCGGATACACTCAATATTCACACAACATCAAACTGTAAGGTTTAGTCTTGGCAAGATGACATCGCACTTCTGAATTAAAAAAACACTCAATACTATAAAAATTTCTGACAGCAAAAAAAATTCTGAGAACTGAAAAATGAGTTTAAAATGACTTATCTTGGCAGCATAGTTTTACTTTGTTTTCATTCCATGCGTTGAAGTTGTTTGAGGATCATATTTCAAGCATTTTAGTATAAATTGCATCATATTCATCATGATAGTGAGTTGTTATTGACCTAATGTGGCTAATTTTATTTTGATAATCTGATACTTATAAGCATTTATGAATTTTGTTTTCCTTAGTTGTTAGTACTATTTTCCTCCATTCAGGATTAGGGAGGTTTTTAATGAGGCCAACAATCTTGATAGATTTTATGTTATAATAAAAATTTATCTTGTTGAAAAAAATAAAACTTTTGTATTAGTTTAAAGTTTCAACAAAATTTAATAAAAAAAAGTACACGAAAATTAATTTAATCATATTACAAAGCTCAACTCATAACAATAGTTCAATTTAGTATCATAGTTTCAAAGATAAATCTTTAACAAATGTGAAACAATTAATATTCTTTTATTTTTCCTTAAGATATATCTATAATCTAATCATTTTTATTCGATGAATAATTATTTTTCGAAATCCATAATCGTAATCATTTATTATCATTTTTAGCATATTGGTTAACTGAAATAATTTGACTTTAACGATTTAGTTAATTAATATATAAAATATAACAGTTATACTGATTAACAGTTATGATTAACAATAATAGATTAATATGCCTACCTCTAGTTCTTGTGGTACAATTTACATACACTTACTTTCAAAATTGAAAATCTTATGAGGAAATGTGTTCTTAAGGCGATTCAAACACAAATTACTTAATGAAATATTTTTAAAATTCTAAATTTTAAACCCTAAACTTAAACCAGCAAATTAGAATTGCTCTTGTAAAGTACACGAAAATTAATTTAATCATATTACAAAGCTCAACTCATAACAATAGTTCAATTTACTATCATAGTTTCAAAGATAAATCTTTAACAAACGTGAAACAATTAATATTCTTTTATTTTTCCTTAAGATATATCTATAATCTAATCATTTTTATTCGATGAATAATTATTTTTCGAAATCCATAATCGTAATCATTTATTATCATTTTTAGCATATTGGTTAATTGAAATAATTTGACTTTAACGATTTAATTAATTAATATATAAAATATAACAGTTATACTGATTAACAGTTATGATTAACAATAATAGATTAATATGCCTACCTCTAGTTCTTGTGGTACAATTTACATACACTTACTTTCAAAATTGAAAATCTTATGAGGAAATGTGTTCTTAAGGCGATTCAAACACAAATTACTTAATGAAATATTTTTAAAATTCTAAATTTTAAACCCTAAACTTAAACCAGCAAATTAGAATTGCTCTTGTAAAGTACACGAAAATTAATTTAATCATATTACAAAGCTCAACTCATAACAATAGTTCAATTTACTATCATAGTTTCAAAGATAAATCTTTAACAAACGTGAAACAATTAATATTCTTTTATTTTTCCTTAAGATATATCTATAATCTAATCATTTTTATTCGATGAATAATTATTTTTCGAAATCCATAATCGTAATCATTTATTATCATTTTTAGCATATTGGTTAACTGAAATAATTTGACTTTAACGATTTAGTTAATTAATATATAAAATATAACAGTTATACTGATTAACAGTTATGATTAACAATAATAGATTAATATGCCTACCTCTAGTTCTTGTGGTACAATTTACATGCACTTACTTTCAAAATTGAAAATCTTATGAGGAAATGTGTTCTTAAGGCGATTCAAACACAAATTACTTAATGAAATATTTTTAAAATTCTAAATTTTAAACCCTAAACTTAAACCAGCAAATTAGAATTGCTCTTGTAAAGTACACGAAAATTAATTTAATCATATTACAAAGCTCAACTCATAACAATAGTTCAATTACTATCATAGTTTCAAAGATAAGTCTTTAACAAACGTGAAACAATTAATATTCTTTTATTTTTCCTTAAGATATATCTATAATCTAATCATTTTTATTCGATGAATAATTTTTTTCGAAATCCATAATCGTAATCATTTATTATCATTTTAGCATATTGGTTAATTGAAATAATTTGACTTTAACGATTTAGTTAATTAATATATAAAATATAACAGTTATACTGATTAACAGTTATAATTAACAATAATAGATTAATATGCCTACCTCTAGTTCTTGTGGTACAATTTACATGCACTATTAATATGCCTACCTCTAGTTCTTGTGGTACAATTTACATGCACTTACTTTCACAATTGAAAATCTTACGAGGAGATGTGTTCTTAAGGCGATTCAAACACAAATTACTTAATGAAATATTTTTAAAATTCTAAATTTTAAACCCTAATCTTAAACCACCAAATTAGAATTGCTCTTGTATTTAAATGGAAATTTAAGTTAAAAGTCCACAAATGTACTCTACTTTGATAAAGAGTACAAACAAAAGAGTTATTACAAATAAACACTTAGGTTTAAGGGTATGATAATTTTCCAAAAGAGTTACTACCTCTATCCAATTAAAGCTGTCCCTTACTGATTTTTTCTAGGCATTTTTTTTTTAATTTTGATTATTTATTATTTAAAATTTATTATTGATAAAATTATGAAAAATTTTTTGAAGGAGTATTATTTAAGATTTTTTTTACTTATGGTTATGTTTGATTTTAATTAGAGACTAGAATGTGAGAACCGAAAGTTTTAGTGCATAAGTGAAAATAGGGGAGTTAGTCTTAGTATTCTTGGATGGCTATTAAGCGTTGATCATGATTCGAGTTTTTTCATGTTTGGTAGTTGAATTGTTGTGAAATCCTTCTATTCTAGCATTTTATTCCTAAACACTTTAATTTCCCGGTTGGTCTAGTCCACTTCCAGTTCAATGTGGGAAAAAGCAAGGTTGTTGCCATTGCTGCTTTGAGCAGACAGAATCGTCCAGATGTTCAATGAAAATTCAAATGATATATCAAAATGTACAATGCACAGAAAGAACATATTCCATTTAAGACCTGTAGAAGTAATACAACACAATACATTCCTTATTCCATGCCACC